ATATAAAAATAAAATAATATATTATAAAACTAGGTTGAATAAAAAAGACTTAAATATGAAGATGAAAAAAGGAAAAAAGAAGAAGTGTAAATAATCGAAAATAAAGCTAAATAAATAAAAGCTTATGAATAATAACAAGAATATTTAAAAGAATAAATAATAAAAAATGAACTAAAAAAGCAATAAAAGATAAAGAAAAAGCAAGAAGAATTATAAAAGCAAGCATAAATAAGGCAAACAACTGAAAATGTATTAAAAACCTAACAATTATTACTAGAAGAAAAAAGGAAAAAAATGGAAGAATATCAAATTAAAAGGAAAGAAAATCTCGAATTTTAAAATTAAAAAAAAAGAAGAAGTGGAAGAAAAAAGATAAAAATTAGAAAAAAATTATAATAATGTAAAAGTATTAATTAATACAAAGAATAATAAAAAAAAATTGTAAAAATAATATATTTAAATATTTTAATATTAAACAAAACAAAAACTTTAGGAATTCGAAAAAAATAATAGGATTTAGAAGTGTATACAAATTATTTTTATCATAAAATTAATATTATTATATTATATTAGAAAAAAAGCCTTATTGGAATAATAAAAATAAGAATAATAATAATAACATAAACTATATTCTGAATAATAATAATTAAAAATTTAAAAATAATGGTAAATTTTAATATTTGGTATTATTTTTTTTTAAATAAATTATAAAGAAATAAAATGAAGAATAAGAATAAATTAAAAAATAATAATTTTATTAAAAAGAAAATGAAAAAAAATTATAAATTGAAGAATATATGTAAAAATAAAAGCTTTAATTGTAATAATAATAAGAATAAAAAGAATTAAAAATAAAAGAAGTTTTTTTTTTTTTTTTTTTTTTAAATAAAAATTATAAATATTTAATTTTAAAAAATTTAGATTCTTAAAAAAAATTAATATTAAGTGGAAATTAAGAAAAAAAATCTTTTAGATTTATTTTAACAAATAGATTAAAAAGTTTAATAAAAAATTTAGAAAAAAAAGAAAGAAATAAGATAAAAAAATGTTTATACTTTAATAAAAGAATTAGATAAAGAAGATAACATTTAAAGGATTGATACTTTATTGGAATATAAGAAAGAAATAATGAAAGAAAAGATTGAAAAAGATATATAAAAGAGATAAATAATTGAGTATTTTTAATTTATTTGGTTAAAAAATATATTTAAGAAAAATAAAATAAAAAAAGATCTTAAAAATAAAAATATATTGAAGCAACTTTAAGTATAAAACGACAAATATATTTAAAAAAAGAGAAAAAATTAAGAGAATTAGAAAGAAGCTTTTATAAATAAAATAAAAATCAAAATAATTGTAATTTTTTGTTGTTTATTATAAAATAAAATATTTTTTTTTAATATAAAAAAAAGCATTTTCAGTTGGATTTAATAGTTGTATTTAAAAATAAAGTAATTATAGTCATTAATATTTTAGTACTAAATATAAAAGTTTAATTATTAATTATAAATAAAATGATTGTTAAGAAATCTAATAATAATTATAAGTAAAATAAACGAAATAAGTTTCTTGAAAAGTTAATTAAAAATTTAAAAAAATAATTTAATTTTAAAAATTATTTGAGTTTATACACTAAATAAAATATTTAGCTAAATTATCATATTAATTAATTAATAATATGTTTATCATAATAGAAAATTAAAATATATATATACAAAAAAAAATAGTTTTTATTAGTTATATTTAAATAAATATATACTTCAATAATTTTATTTTTTTGAATTAAAATAATAATAATATTTTTTTCAATAATTTTATTGTTTAATATATTAATTTTAATATAAATATTATTATTTTTTCAGATTTAGTTATAAATAAAATATTAATAATTTTTTTAAAAAATTACTTAAAATAAAAAAATATAGCATTACGAATATTATTAAAAATGTTTGTAAAAAAAAATATCAAAAATTTTTTTTTTTTTTTTTAATATATTTTTAAATAAAAAAAATATAATAATTTTTATTAGTTTTAATTATATTATATATTAATATTAATTTTTTCAATTATTTTAGTTTTTTTTAAAAATAAACCTACAACAAAAAGTCACTTTGTCAATTTTTTTTTTTATCTTTTTTTTTATTGTGACTTTTTAAAAAAAGAGAAAAAACATCAGTTAAAGTTATAGTTAATATTATAAAATATTATATTATATTTAAATAAATTTTTTGAAATATTTTTTTTTAAATCATTAATCAATTTCTTTGTATAATTATTTGATTTTCTTTTTTAAAGTTCTTTTTTTTATTTTCTTATTAAATATTAGATTAATTTTAGTTTATTTTAAGCGGTAGCTATCTTCGAGTATTTAAGAAAAATAAAATATATTCATTGAAATAATAAAATTAAAATATATATATATATGTATATATATATATATATATATATATATATATAAATATATAAATATATATATTTATATATATTATTAATATTTTTAATTTTATTATTTATTGAAAATTATTATTTTTATAAATATCTTTAGTTTAATATTTATATTACTAATTTTTAAATTTAGTTATGATATTAATTAAAATATTTATTTTTTCTATAATATTTTAAATTAATCAAGAATTAAAAAAAATCTATTTATAAAAAATAATTATTTAAATTCGTAATATATAAAAAATATTTAATATTTATTTTAAAATAATATACTTAAATTTCTTCTTTATCAAAATAATTAAAAATAAAATTTTAAAAAACCAAAAATATAAATATAAAATATTATTTTTTTAATTTAATATATTTTTATATTTATTATTATAAATAAAATATATATTTGATTTAAAAATTTCCATTTTAATATATATATTATAAGCAGATTATAAGTCTTTAAATTCTTATAAATATTTTATATATTAATCCTATTTAAAATAATCTCTATCATTATTATAATTAAAATAGTCACTATTTTTTATTTTATTTTTATTTTACACAAATTCGATTTAAAAATTTAATTTTAATGAATATATTTATTTTAATAATTTCAATTTATATTTTTATTTATTCTGTTGATAACTTTATAGCAAAATTTAATCATACTTGAATTTATTCTTTTAAATATATTTTTTAGAAACATAAAAATTATATTAATAAAATAATAATACGAATATAATTTAGAAAAACTATATAATAATTATTTTAAATATTATTAAGATATATTTATTTTTTCAAATAAAATATATACATAATTTTAATATTGATTAATAATATAAATCTTTTTTTTTTTTTAAATTAATCAATTTAAATATCTTATTATTTATTATAAAATTTAATATTATACTTCACTCTAACCATTAAATTTAACTTTTTTTAAAAAAATGCATCCATTTATAATAAATATAATAACAAATATAGTTTTTTTTATTTTTTAAAAAATTAAATTGTTTTTTAATATATGTGTTTTTCTTTTTAGTGATTTAAACAATGCATTTTATTTCAAATATTTAAACTGACTTAATTTAAATTTTGTATAATTTTTAGTTTTTTTTAAAATAAAAAATTAATGAAAGATATAACAACACGAACAAGAAAAAACTCTATCATAAATGTCGAAAGTTAAATATAAAGGTATTTTATATTTAAATAAAAAAGCAACTATAATTAAATAATCTAAAGAAAAAGCGAAGAGAATAATAAGCACAAATATCAGATATAATAATAATACATAAAAACAAAATATTTAATTTCAAATAATTAATATAATTATCCAAACTAATAAAAATAGGAAATAATGATTCCGCAAAATTAAAAATCTCAAAATAAATAAATTAATAATGTATCAACTCCTTATTATCTTTATTAGCAAAATTAAATAAAAGTAAAACAAAATGAGTATTAAAAATACATAGACGAAAATCAAAAAATCAAAAAAAGACAGATATGTTAAAGAATATATATAATAAAAATAATATTAGTATAAATATAAATAATATTTCATGCCAAAATAGAAGTGGATAGAATATAAATTTATCTATGAATAGTGTAAGTAGAGTAAAAGTACGGTAATAAATGCATGAAAAATAATACTCAATAAAAAGGTAAAACTTAAATGATACACCAAATAACAAAATAAGATATTTATAGAAGAATTGTCCTATATTTACTAATAAATATTTAAAGAAAAAATACAAATCGAATTAAAATAATGATAATTCTTAATTTAATGATACTTTGTTTAATGGATATAATATGTAAGGTTATTAATAAAATTAATTTCCAAATTAATTTTTTTTAAAAAAAAACACGAATAAAACTTTTGAAATAAATTAGTTTGTGCCTAATACAATTAAAATTTTGAGTCAAGAAAATTATAATGAATCAATGAATTAGAATATTTAAATTAAAAATTCGAATGTCCTAGCTCTTTTATAATAAGGATAATAATTAGTAAAAGATAATAATCTAAAACTTGCTATATAGTATTTATATTATAATTTTCTATTTATAATTATAATTATATATATACATACATATATATTGTTAGAGTTCTAAAAGACGTTATTTAAAAGGATAATAATTTATTAGATGCTCATTATCTATTAGGTATAAGTTATATAGGAAGAAGTGAATATTAATTAGCAATTAAATAACTTTTATATGTTTTAGAAAAAAACAATACCTTTAGAAAAAATATTTATCTTTTGATTTCTATAGCTTTAAAAAAATTAAACAATATATAGTCTGCAATTCAAATAGTTTACTTTTTTTTATTTATTATTAATAAACAAAAATAAAATTTTATATTATTTAATTAAAAAAAGCTCAGTTAAGCTATTTAAAATAATCAAAATTATTAAGATGCTTATATTTATAGAGGAAAATTATATATAAAAGAAAAAAAATATGAACTTGCAATCTAAGATTTTAATACTGCTATCAAGATTAATCCAGAAAAAGGAGTATCCTATTTAGGAAAAGGAGATTGCTTAAAATTTATGGGATGTTATCAAGAATCTTTTATTTAATATACAAAAGCTATGGAAAAGGAAAACAAAAATTTAAAAAATATATGTTTGTTAAAAAGGGCTACTTTATTAATAAAAGATTAAAAATATGAAGAAGCATTATAAGATTTAAATAATGTTTTTTATAAAAATAAATAAAATATATATATTAAAAGAAAAAAAAAAACTATAGGTAATAAAATATGAAGAAAAAAAATCAGAAGTTTATTATTTTAAAGGATTAGCATTATATAAATAAAGTATAAAAAACATATATCTATTTTTATTAGAAAATTAATATATTTATAATTTATATAAAAAAGGAAATTTAAAAGATGCAATTCTTTCTTTTGAACAATCAATAAAATACAATAACTCTAAAAAATGTGTATCTAAGTCATTAAAGAAAATATCAAAAATAAAAATAGAATAAAGAGATTTTTATTCTGCTTTTCATACATTAAGTAGAGCAGATTTTCTAGATGTCGAAATAAAAACAATAGAAAAATTAAAATTATTTACTGAAGGAGTGATCTTTTTAATGAAAAAAAAATATAATGAAGGAATTGATTTGTTTAATTAAATTACAAAAAATAATAAATTAGGAGATTTTTTGTAACAAATATTTTATTCTTATAGGGCTTATGGTTATTTTTGTTTGGGAAACCATTAAATGGCGCTAAATGATTATATATAATAATAAAATTATTTAGAAGATGTAAATAAATATAAAATTAATAATAATATTAATAATTAAGTAATAATAATAATAATAATAATAATAATAATAATAATAATAATAATAATAATAATAATAATAATAATAATAATATAATTTTGTATAATAAATTTTTATGTGAAGGAATATTGGCAATAAATTCTAGTAAATTTGAAAATTGTTTATCCTTTTTTAAAAATTCTGCTTTGATTTGCAAATAAAAAATTGAGCCAATCCTTTATTAAGCATTAAGTTTAATTTATATAACTTTTTCTAAAAAATAAAATATAGAAGATTCAGATTTTTAATAAAATATTCTTAAAGCTTTATCAATATTAGATAAATGTATTTAATTAAACAATTAAAATGCCCAATCTTATTATTTTCGTGCAATAATTAGATGTTATATGGGTTTTTATTAGGAAGGTTTATCTGATATAGACAAAGCAATTTAAAATAGCGAGGATAACCTAGCTTAATACTTTTATTTAAGAGGGCATATTTTAGGTTGTTGTAAATAATATAAGCAAGCTTAATACGATCTATCAATATGTCTTTAATTAGATGAGAATTTTTCCGATGCATATCTTGAAAGGGCCAAAAACAATTATTTTTTAGAAGAACATGATTCTACTTTTAGTGATATGTAGAAATATATATAATTAAAACCTTAAGATTAATAAATACATTTTTGGGCTGGAAATTTACTTTTTAATAGTGGAGCAATAGAAGATGCGATAAAAGCCTATAGTCATTGTGAATAAATAAATAAATAAGAAAATTTGCTTTTAGAGAGAATTAAATGTAATATTATTTTAAAAAATTTCTAATAAGCAATATAAGATATTAATAAAGTAATTATATTAAATAATTTTTTGTTTTGTTTCCAATACATTTGTATTAATTTTAGATTTCAGAAAATAGTTAATTATATAAAGTAGATTTGGCTTGTTTAAATTCTTTAAAATCGCTTAGTTTTGAATATTTTTTTAAAGCCTAAAAAAACGGATTTAAGGAAAATATCTCTTAATTAAAAAAATTGAGTGATAAAGAAAATTTAAAATCAATGATTTTTACTTAAAATCATATATATTTATACCTTGGTGCTTTTTTACTATTTAATGAAATTTACCATGAAGCCATTATTTTTTTCAAAAAGGGTCTATAGAATTTTTAAAAAGCAAATCAATCATAAGATTAAAAAGATAATTCTACAATTAAATATTTAAATGACAATAATATAATATTAGATTATTATTTTAATATTATTCTTGCCTATATTTTAGTATTTAACTTTTTATTTTTTATATATAATTTCTTTACTTTTTTATTAATTCTTAAGTTATTTAGAATAATTAACTTAATGAAGCACATCAAACATGTTAAGGAGTTGAATAGATTTTAAATAATAAATATAAATAAATATTCGTATTATTAAATGAATTAATTACTATAGAAATGAATTAATAAAAAAGTATTAAAAAATAAAATAAAAATTATTTATTTATTTTTAAAGACAATAATTATAATGAACTTGAGATCTAAAATTCTATTTATAATATATTTTAAGAAGATAAAAAAATTTCTTTAATTATTCCACCTATAGCTTTAAAACTAAAAACCTTAACTAATATCAAATTAAATATATAATTTGATATACCAAAAATTAATCCTCCAAGCATGTAGCCTTAATTTAATATTCAATTAATAAAAACTTTAAATGTAAATTTAATTAAATACTTAAAATAAATTAATTAAACATAATTTAATAAATAGCCTAATATGGTAGAAAACAAACCTGAAGCACCATGGATTAGAAGAAATTCAGATGGAATTATATTTACTGATAATATATAAATATTTGAACATTTGAATTTGGAAACAGAAGAAAAAGAAAAAAGTAAAAAAATAATGTATTTAATTATTTAATAATATAAAAAAAAAGATGAGCTAATAAAATAGGTCAAAATCGATAAAATGAAAGCAAATTTAATGCTAGATAAAGAAATATTAAAAAAACTCAATAAACTTAATTAAAAATAATAAATAATATATACATAATAATCAATAAATAAAGATATTAATTTATGAAAATAAAAGTATAAATTTTTTTTCATTAATAAAAAATATTAAGAATATTATTTATTTAACAAAATTAAATAAATTTTATTAATATATTTTAACAAAAATTGCTTGTTATAATAATATATCTATTAAGAAATAATATAATTTAAATATTAATTTATAAAATAATTATTTACTGATTTGATTTAACTTTAATTAGAAGTTTTATATATTTAATATGTTGTTTAACACTAAGCTTTTATTTGGTTTAAGTGTTTTTTCCTAATTTATACTTAGAATATTATTATAAAAGTTTTTATTATTATTAAATTAATTAATATCATTAAAAACAGAAAATTATCAAAATCATTATGTTATTTTAAATTTATTAATAATGTTTATTTTTAAATTCAAAAAAAATATTTTTTGGGAGTATTTTATTTATAATAATATTCCAAAAGTGAACTATCATTTTTATATTGATTTTATTTATTTAAAAATTTAATACATTCTTAACTTTTTATTATTATTATTATAAATTATTTAAAAAACATAATTTTTTTTGAAGAGAATATTTTCTGTGAAAAATGCATTTTTGATAATATAATTTTAAAAAATTAAATTTATTTACTTTTTAAAAATAATTTAATCCAAGTTCAAAAACTGTTTTTTTTAGGAATTTTCATTATAACTTATTTTTTTTCTTTCAATTTTTTTAAATATACATTCTTTTCTTATAATTAGAGTAAAATTAATATTTTTTTTTCTTTTTTTTAATTTCAATCTTGAGCAGTTATTAAAAATGTTTTGTTCTGAAATTAATTAAGTATTTATGTTTAGGGAGGCATATTTAGGTTTTTTATTAGCATTTTCTTGATATTTTAAGTTGCTTATTTAATAAGTTAATTTTTTTATTTTTATAATTATATAATTTATATTTTTTATCTCACAAAAGATCGTTCATTGTATGTTTATTATTTTGGCTTAATGTTTATTTCATCTCTAAATTTTATAAAGGAGATTTCATATTAAATAATATTTATTTTTATTTTAAAGAATTCGTTGTTAATTAATTTTTTTTAACTCTTCTAAATTAGATTATGTATTTAAATTTTCTAATTTTTTAAGTTTATTTATTTTTTAATCACTAAATATAAGAAGTTTTTATATTTGCATAATTTTAGAATTTAATTAATGCATTTTCTTATATTAATTGTATATTAGAATTTTTAGTGTATGATTTTTAAATAATTCTAAATCTATAATTATTGTTATATAAAATATATTTTTAATTTATTTATAAATTCTTTTTTATCAAACCAAACTAAATTTTGCTGTTTTTTTTGTTCAATTTATAATATAAAAAATTATAAATAAAAAATAATTTTTTATTTAGTATTAATAAAATAATAATTAACATTAGTTTTTTAATATTCGACTTTAATTCATTTAAAATTAAAATAAAATAAAATAAATTAAAATGGACTAAAAAGTTTTTTTTAATGAAATAAGCGAATTATTAGAAACACCTTTCAATAAACAGAATTCATAACAATAAGAATAAAATTATTTTTTTGTAAAGGTAACAAAAATAAAATATATAAATTATTTGTATTAAAATAAATATATAAAAGTAAGATGTAAAAGATAAAATATAGCAAATTATTGAATAGCTTTAAGCCTAAAAATAGGAATTTCGCAAACAAAAATATTAGGATCATACATAAATAATTCGTTAAAAATAAAAATAAAAGTTGGAATGGAAGCAAATGCAAACATATTAACCTTAAATTGAAAATAGAAAACCGTTTATTAAGCTTCCTCACATACAATAAGAATATTTTGAAAAAAACAAATAAATATATATTAATACCGATAAAGCTAAGTCATATTTAGAAAGACAAAGTTTAATCTTTCCAGATAAATCTAATTTTCCTTTAGGATGTATTTTTTTTTTTTTTTTATAACATTGTATAAAAATAAATTACGGGAAACATAGTTCATTATAGTTGTGGAGAAAAATCAAGTCCTTATGATTTATTTGGAAAAGTACCTGAAAATTAATTGAGTGAAAAATAAAAGTTGCATTAAACCTATTGGGAAAGTGTCAATAGCACAATAAAATAAAAAGAATATGAATAAGTAAAATTACTTGCAAAATATCACATTTTTATTAATAAAGATTTATATTTATTTTATATAATAAAAATAAGTTAATTCTTTCATAAAGTGGTAAAGAAAAGAAAAAAAAATCCGAATAAATATCTAAAGAAAATAAAAAAGTATAAATATTTAAGCCAATAGATACTAGAACCCATTACTTTTAATAAGAACCATCGTATATTACTGAAGTTTCTAGAACTGAAAAGTAAAATTAAACTTTATTTTAATTATAAATATTAATATTTTTAACATACTTAATTTTAGTCAGATTTAAAAATTAATAAGCCTGACAAGAAATATTGAGCATAATCTAAAATGGAATCCAAATAATTATGTAAAAAAAAATTATTTTTTTATAAAAAATAACAAAAAAAGATTGGAAAGTTGTTCGATGATTAGATTTATAAACCTTAATAATAATATTTGTAATTGTAGTAAAAAAAATAATAATAATAACAATAAAACTAAGATGAAAATTTATAACTATTATCAAATTTATGATAAGGAATAAAATAATAAATAAAACTTAATTATATTTAACTAATATATATATATATATATATTATTTTTTAAAAAAGATTTTTTTATAATTTAATAAAAAAATAAAACAATATATATATATATGTAACTTTAAAATTAAAATATGGATTAAAATATATAAATAATAAATATAGAAAAGAATCCAATAAGCCGATCAGCTTAAACTTTCGAAATCGTATAACAAGCCTCCAATAATATATTAGGCGAAACTCAAGATAATTCATTTTCTCATTAATTTCCTGACCAAGTAAGTTTTTCATGGTTATTAAAATCATGTTTTGAAGAAGCTTTAAGTTATTTTTTCGAATGGGTTCCAACTACAATCGCCCTATATTTCGTAGCCGATTAATATTCATAAGAAATAGTAAGCGGCTTTGGTTTAGGTTTAGTATGGAACAACTGTGTAGGATAAGGCTTATATTATGGACTTTGTAGTGGTTTAGAAACAATGGCTTCGCATGCCCATGGTGCTAAAAATTACAAATAAGTTGGTCTTTTATTTTAAAAGACATTATATATATCCTTAATAATGTTTATCCCTATATCTTTATGTATGATATATTCCCAAAACATTATATCTTTATGGAATGATGACCCAAAACTATCATATATAGCAGGCTAATATTGTATGCATTCTCTCCCTGGTATATTTTTTGCTGCCATATATTACGCCTATAAGGCAACTTTGAATGCATAAAATGCATATAGACTACAAGTATATAGTAGTGGTATTAATATAGGATTTACATTATTATATTGTATAATTTTTATCACAAAATTGGATTTGGGAATTAAAGGAGCATCCATAATTTTTTCACTCACAGAATTTTCAAACGTACTTATATGCTATTTATTTGCAAAAAGAGTTCCTTAACTATCAAAATGCTACATTCCTTACACAAATTAATGCCGATAAGACCTTCTTCCTTTCTTAAAATAAGCAGTTCCTATTGGATCTTTACTTTCACTTGAATGGATGCTTTAGGAAGCTAATTCTATTATTGCTTCTAACTTAAATGCTTAATAGTATTCAGCTCATATTGTACTTGCAAATTTATTAGCTGTCTGTAATTAGTTTGTTTTAGGTTATTCTACTGCTGCCTGCACTTTTATAGGAAATGAAATGGGTAGAGGAAAAGTAGCAAATGCTAAAAAATATTCTCTTTATAGTCTTTGTATTGTGGTTAGTCATTTATTACTAACAGTTACTCCAGTTTACATTATGTAAAATAAAATCGCTGAAGCTTTTGCTGTTGATAATAATGTAAAGGAGGAATTAGTTAATATTTTTGGATTATTTTTGCTTGTATATTGCATGGATTCTTTTTAATGTTATATCACTGCTTTTATGAGGGCAATTGCTTAAGAAAAATATTCTAGTTTTTCATTTATTTTCTCTTATGCAACAGTTGGACTTACTTCAAGTTATTTTTTAGCTTATAAAGCCGGATTTTAAATTAAAGGAATATGGTTTGGAACTTGTTTAGGTATTTTTTTATATTTTTTAATATTTAAACAAACAAAATAGGTTTAAGTGTTTATTTAATTCTTTAATTTAAAAAAATTTTATAAATTAATTTAAATAAAATGTCTAATATTATTTTGGGTAGAATTGAATATTAAGAATCTCTTAATAATAAAAATAAAGATAAAGATAAAAATAATGAATGTAAAAAACCAGATACATACGATAACACAGCTAAAAACATGATGGAATAATAATTTAGTATTAAATAAAGAAAATCTTTAGAATATTTATGATTGAAACTTAAAATTAAAAAGGAAGAATTAAATATTATGTTTAAAAAAATAATAACTAAAATAACACAAAAATATATTATTGTATCTAATATTTCTTTTTTATTTTTCATAATTACGATTTGAAGGAATTCAATTTTTCTTTATTAAAAAAAAAAATTATATATTTAAAACTTAATTAAGAAAAAAAAAATTACATTAGTTATATATTTTATTTAAATTAAAAGCCTTTCAATATAAATGAAAAAAATCATTGTAGTTTTTATGTTTTTAACTCAAATAATTAATATATTTTCATTTACTAATTTGAAATAATAAAAAATTGAGTTATAAAAAGAAATCAGTCCTGCTGAAGAATGCGGATAAGATTTAAGAATGGGATTAGTTGATATGTAAATTTACATAAAATATTGCAAAGATAAAATAAAAGATCCTTGTGAATAATGTGGTTTAACAGGTGATGATTAATGTATAAGCTTAATTAATAGTATTTGTATTGAATTTAAAAAAGAATATGAATGAAAAATATAAATACAATATTTTTCTAAAAAAATATAATATAATGAATTGAATTTATATTTCATATTAATAAAAAATATTTTTTTTTTAGTTTATAAAAATTATATAATAATATATTTATTTCCTAAATATTTAAAAAGGTCTCTAGCTTAAACATATTATTTCAATAAATAAATAATTTTTTTAAATAAAAATAATTATAAATTCCATTTTTTTTATTTTTAAAATAAAAATAATTATAAATTCCATTTTTATTTTTTTTTAAGTTAAAAATATAATTAAAAATGCTATATTTCATTAGTTTATGAATAAAGAATATTATAAAATTAATAATTTTAAAGTTTTTATAAATTTTTTAATTTTAAATAAGAAATATATAAAAAAAATATTATTATTTTACATTTTAAGGTAAATAACTAAAAGCAATTTATATTTTTCTTTATTGTCAATGTTTTTCTTCAAACTAATTAATTAATATATTTCTGAATTTTTCAGTTAAACTCATACCAATAGCTGATTAAGGAGCAATTGTTAATAATCTAGCACTAACACCTTTTATTTAAACGAAAAAAAGTAAAAACAAATTCTGAAAAAATATTAATAAAATAAATAACCTTTAAAAAGTGAGGCAAATCCTTCTTTTTTAATAATTTAAATAATACCGTGGACTATGTTTTTATAACCAAAATTTCCTTTTTAAAATTTAATATCTTTATTTTCGTCTTGTTTATAAAAAGCATTAGATGCTCTCTAAACTTACATTCTTATTTTTGAAACTTCTAAAGGATTAGTTATTACACTAGCAAAAGCACCTGCCAATGCAGCTAAACTGAAACTTTCAAAAAATGTAGGATATTTAGAATTTTAACATAATATTGCTTTTTTTTCATATTCAACATTATATATAAATAAAAAGTATAATTAATACATTTTAACTATTCATAAAAAGTGAAATAAAAAGCACTATAAGGTCCAAACGTGCAAATAGTTGCTCCATAAGCCTTTTTTATATTTTAGTAAATAATAAAATTTATATATAAAAATAAAACTCTATATAATCCTGGTATTCCTTCTGATTTAGAAATTTATTTTATTGCATCTATTGCATTTGCATATCTATAAAGTCCTAAATTTTATTATACTTATAATCTTTCTTTTATAACATCAATAGGAAGCCAAAATATACAACTTATAATTTCTGCAAATAAGCCTGCAATCATATACATTAAAAAATCATTATTTTATAATATCTTTTTTATAAACAATTAAAAAAGATATAAATAAATAATTATTTATGAATATTTACTCCATATTTATTTAAAATTGTTTTATTATACTCATATGATGTCATATATAAAGTAAATGCAGGTCCAGATCCAATCTTTTAATTTTTTTTTTAAAAAAAACCTAATTAAAATAAAATATTACAACAGATATTCCTACACCTGAATATAGTCCTTTAAATCCTTCATTTTTAATTGTTTATATTGCTTATTTTTAAAAATTAAAATAAGAAATTTATTTTTTTATTTTTAATTAAAATATAATACCTATATCTTTTAGCATACGCTTATTTTTATAATCATTAAATTCTAGTTTTATTGTTTACACCTTTTTTTAGTTAAAAAATATATAATTCTATGTTGATATTTTTGATACTTGTAATTTTGATTTTAACGTATCTAAAGGATGCGTAATAAATTTAGAACACATTCCTGATAATGCACTTGTAAATAATGTATATTTGATAAACTTATTATCTTCAATTTATACTTAAACCATCTTTATAAATAATTTATAAATATTTTTATTATTAAAATAAATTTATTTTGTGTAATTATTATATATATTTTTCACGGTATTTATGAATAGAAGAGAAAATTATTTAATCAGTAATTTTTATATAAATTCAAGTACATATTTTTATTAGTTTTTAAAAAAAGGTAATATATATTTATATTGCTGATATTTTATATAAAAAAAGAATAATAAGCTAAATTTAATATGAATTGTGGAAAACGCTATAATATTATTTTCGCAAACTTTATTAATAGTCTGTACTAATCATTTATAATATGAAGTGTTTACAATTTAATTAAAATTTTTATTTAATTTTGGTATTGCATATGTTTTTGCATTCAATAAGTATAAATTCATATAAAAAATATATAAATATTTTTTTTTAGTAAAATTAAAAAAGTAAATAAAATATTTAATAGTTTTTATTTAATTTGTATTACTATCATATTCAAAAACTATATAATAATAAGGTTTTTATATTTATTTTACAAAATAGTAGTAAATAATAAAAAACATAGAATATACATATAATAGATGTTCGATATCTAAAAAATATATATTATTTAAATTATTAAATATCATAATAATAGAAGTTTATAAAAAAAGAAATAGTATATAATATAAAATTAATTTATTAGTGTTTATATTTTTTTTTATTAACAAAAATAAGCAAATACTTTTTTTGATTTATAAATCAAAAAAAATTAGTGTATTGTATATGTAATTATTTTATAAATTCATAGATAGTTTAAAAAACGGTAAAAATTTTTTTTTTTATGTTTTATAATAGTTTTTTTTATTTTTTTTTAATAATTTTTTTATTATACTGTTTTGGGAATTATAATATTTCAAATTATAATAATTATTTATTGGATTTTTCTTATTTTTTTGAATATTTTTATTATATGAAAAAAATATTGTAAATTACATGAATGAATGAATAAAAGAAAATAATAAATTTTAGATATTTAATTTGAATTCCTAACTGCGGTTATATAAAAATAAATTTATTTATAATTAAAAATATATTCATAGTATCGTCTTTTACTACTTTTTAGAAACCTATAAACATTATTATCTTCTTCTCTTTTTTTAATTTCTATTTTGAATTCAATATCATTAATATATGTTTAAAAGCATTTAAATCTAAGATATTTATTAAAAATCTCTAGTTTTAAACAAAACTAAATAACAAATATTTCAATTAAAAAAAAATAGTCTATAGTAGTTTAAAATAAAAGTATCTTATATTTTCTAAATCAATATTCTTAATTGCCTCTAAATAAAAAAAACCATAATTATTATATAATTATTTATTTTACAAATCTATTGAATATCTAAACTTTTAATTACCAGCTTACACTTTATTTTATAAAAGACAAAAAGTTAAAAGTAACTATTAATAAAAAAATATACTTCAAAAAAATATGATTATACCAGTACATAAAAGTTTAATACAAAGATTTTTACTTACTAACATTATAAAAGGAAACATTTCCAAATACATTATAAATAAAATTTTATACCTATTATGAATAAATCTGCAGAAACTATTATATAAGGTTTTTATTATTAATTTTCAGCAGCGATATAACTTTCGGTCCCTAGAACTGCTTTAAGAAATAAGATTTAACTATTTCTTCCAAAAGTGTAGAAAAACACAAATTGGCGACTTTTAAATTAAATGTTAATTTTCTGGTTTCAAATCTCTATGAACAATTTCTTGATTATGTAAATATTCTAAAGCATATATTAATAAATAGAAAAATTTCCTGCCACTTAAACAATATTCAAAAAATATTCATATTATTATTTTAAGAAATTTTCTTTTAATGTATTTATGTTTTTTAATAGTAATATAAAAAAATCTAAATTTAAATAATTAAAATTTATTATATTAGGAAAATTTCACTTTGAATAAATTTTAAATGTAATACGATTTTGAGTTTATAATTATTCTTAAACATTTTATTAATTATATGTAATTTTATATTATACTAATAATTAACTTTTGTTTAGTAATTTTTTTTAGATAGCATGATAAGTTTATCTTTATTTTAAATTTTAATAATAGAATAACAATGATGTTAAAAAAAAAATTATTATATATTAATACATATTTTTATATGACATTATATTAGTATTTATTTATATAATAAATAAGAAAAATATTGAATATTTGTTTAATTTAATTCAAAAGTTTTAATGTAAAAATAAAATAAAAAAGATTATTTTTGTATTATAATATATAATTTAATAACTATGATAATTTTTTTATTTTTAAAAATGAAAAATAAATAAAAAAAATTTTAATATATAAAAAATTAAAACAGATTTTAATAGATTAATATAAAAAAATAAGAAAAAATAATATAATAAAATAAATATAAAAAAAAAATTATGTAATAATAGGAAAATGATGATAACACTATATTTTATATTCGATTAAAATAATAGCAATATAAAAAAATAATTATATATATAATAATATAAAAAATTAAATAAAAATAGACAATATATTAAAAATTCCGTAAAAATTAGAAATAAAAAATAATAATAATAATAATAATAATAATAATAATAATAATAATAATAATAATAATATTTTTTTTTTATCAAATTTATTATATCATTTCTTTTATTTAATTTGTAACTTTGAAGTATTACATAGAATCACCTTTTATTTTTTAGAAGTCCAATATATTAATATCATCATCTCTTTTTCTTATTTCAACTGTAAATTCTACACTATCTCCATTACTATCAGTCTAGAAGCATTTAATTTTAAGGTATTTGTTTGAAGGTTCTACTTTTTGGCAAAACTTAGTATTATAATTCAACAAATATTTGAATAAATATTCACAATCAACACTAGTTTACAAATCAGTATGTCTATTATCTTACATATCAGCATCTCTAACTTATCTTTAGACTGTAAAATCAAAATTCTTATCTAATCCTTCAAATTCACTTTAAACTTCGGCTTATGATCTGTATTTTTGAGCGCCAACATACACTTTTAATAAAAAGAAGTTTAAAAAAAAAAAAAAAAATTATAAAAATTACTCATATTTCCAGCCCCTTGTTTTTATCTTTCTTTCTATTATTATTTTTCCAATCTTTCTCTTTCAAAAGATTCTTGAACTTTTTTATATCTATTGGTGAATTCTTTTCTAATTTCTTCCATAGGAGCAACCGGTCCATTATACCAAGGATGACTTTTTACTTCGGCTATTGATAGTCTTTAAGGTGCATCATGAGCAAGCATAGAATTGATAAAATCAATGAAATCTTTAGAATAAAATTCCTAAGAGCTTTTATTTTTTAAATGAGCTTACCAAAAAGTATCATGTCTTCCAGTGCATAAAAGCTTGAAATAAGGATCTTTAGTATCAGCTTTGGAAAAAGGAGGAGTTCCGGAATACATAATAAATAAAATAATAGCAGCAGCAAAAAGATCAACAGCGGCTCCAATATATGGAGTTTTTGCATGAATTTCAGGAGCCATATAACTTTCAGTTCCAAGTACTGTTTTTAAAAAACCAGATCCGTCTTTACCTTCTACAAGTGTAGCGAAACCAAAATCAGCAACTTTTAAATTAAACTATTAATCAAATAATAAGTTCTCAGGTTTCAAATCTCGATGAGCTATTCCATTATTATGTAAATATTCTAAAGCAGTTATTAATTAATGGAAATATGCTCTAGATACTGATTCACTAAAACTTCCACAGTTTGATACATATTCAAATAATTCACCTCCTTAACAGTATTCTAATACTATACACATTGCTTAGTATGATTGTCCATTCTTTTTCGTGTATTTCGCGTTCTCTATTACTTCCACTAAATTAACTAAGTTAGGGTGATTCATCTTTTACATCATACCTATTTCATGTTTTAATGTCTTTAGATTTGAAGCTAAACTGTGAGTACTCTTGAAAATTTTAGCTGCTAGTTATTAATTATTATAATAAGCTAATTTTACCTAATATTTTAAATTAAATTTATTTCTTTTTTAGTTTTTTTTACTTTCGCATGATAACCTGATCCTAATGTTTTTCCTAACTAGTATTTATCAATTTGGGCACATGATTTTCCTTTCATTTTTTTTTTTTTTTTTTAATTACTTTTATATTATTAATTATTATATTTATAGAGAAAAAACTAATTATTATATCTATTTTTATATATATTTTATATATATTAATATAAATTCTTTAAAATAGTATTTTATCATGAATTCAAAGGTTTTTTCTTTTCGATATTGTAATAGACAAATTAACAAAAAATAAAAATGATAGATAAAAAATTTGTCTGCTTCAGATATATTAAATTAATATTATTTAATTTATATATTTAATAATAATCAAATTATATATTAGATATATAAATTTTCAATTTTATGAAAGACAATATAAAAACATGCAATTTTTAGCTTATTTAAAAATAAATTAGCTGATTTTTGAATTTGTTTATTATAATCTTATCTTAAAATATAAGGAAAAAATATAAAATCTATATTTTAACTAATGTCTATAATAAAATATAATTTATTTATTGTTTATTTTATATTTTTAAAATCATTCTAATTTCTTTAAAAATAATAAAAGACTAATCTTATAATGTTTTAGATAATTAATTTTTAACACTAAAAATCATTAAAAAATAAAAAATAATATTAAATATTTAAAAATTAAAATTCATAAATTTATTAATATTATTTTGATTAAAGTTTTTGTAATAAAATTGGAAAAAATAGTTCTTTGATAATAATTTTTACTCATTTATAAATTATATAACAAAAATAATTTCTTTTTATAAAGATAAAAAGTAAATAATAGGTTTTAATCATCACATTGCTAAATACAACCAATATATTATTTATTAGTTAAAATAAATGTATGTAATTCAATTTAACTGATAAAAATAATAAATTATTATATTATGCAAATAATATATATTTTTATAGTTTATATAAATAAAATATGAATCTAAAAAATTAATATATTACTAAAACAATTATATGTAATAAAAAAAATAGATTTGAATATAGCTATTTAAATACATTTTTTATAATCATTTATTTAAAAAATGTAAAATAAGATAAGAATAAATTAACATTTATGTTTTAAGTATTGGACTTAATTAAAAAAATGTTATATTGAACTATTTTAAAAAACATATTTAAAATAATTAAATGAAAAAATAATACTTATAAACTTATAATATATTTATTATATAAATTTAAGAATTACATTATGTTATTTTCAAATAAAAATAAATAATATAAGTACTAATTGTGAATAAATTATAATTTATCCTAAGCAATCATAAAAGCATTTATATAAATTATTCCATTTTTAATTAGAAGTATCAATATTACAGGTAGAAATGCATTTTTTTATTTGTTTAGAGTATTAAGATTCATAAAAATTATCTAAACATAATTAATTTGTTCCAGTGCAATATAAATAATCTAAGCGCAAATCTGCACATTCAAAATCTTAATCGCAATTATATTATTAAATCACACAATTATTCTAAATGCATTTATCAAATTATTATTTTTTATATGAATTTATTGATTTTAAAAAAATGCAAATAATAACTAATTTAAATAATTTTATCATTTTTTTAAAAAATTTATTTTTATTTAAATAGAAAGAAATAGATTATATAAAATAAAATATTGTTAAAAAAATAATGATAATAAAAAATAATTATTTTTATATACAAATTATATAAAAAATAATAAATTATTATAATTTGTATAATTATCATTTGAAATTATATATGTTTGTTTCGATAATTTTAATATTTAATTTTTATCTTGAAATATTCTTTTGTATATTTTTTTATTTGATTAAAAAATATTTTTATAAACAATTAAAAATATTTTTTTTGCTTTTATATAATGACTTATTAATTTTCTTTTATTTTTATAATACAGATATATATAAAATATGTTATATAATATATAAAATTTTATTTAAAAATATTTAGAGACAATTAGAAAATGGAAAAAATATACCATTTAAATGTTAAAATTAAATATAAAAATTATATTTATAATTTGTATAGTATATTATTATTTAAAGATTTAGATTATAATAATTTTAAAAATAAATAATAAAGATAATTAAAACATTTTTTAAAAAGTATAAAAAAGTAAGATAATTAGAAATATAAAAAAAATAGATAAAATAGCTTAAAACTATATTAATCTGTACCTATTAGATTATATATGAATTTTTAATATAAATAAAAATTACAAAAATAATTTATTCAAAAAATTAGTTTTATAAAATTTTATTATTAAAAATATAGATTTAAAATATCTAATATATATTAAATTAGATGATAAAATAATATAAAAATACATTGAAATATAAATAAATGCTTTAAA